TCCATTTCCAGGTTCTTTTTATAGTAAAATCAATCAAAATCACCTCTATTTCTATAATATGTTTTCCATTCTATCATATGAGACCAAGAAAATGAGAATACAACCTTAAATACTATACGAAAATAGACCACAAAGTCGGCATTTTAATTAAAAAAAGGGTCGGAGTTTTTTTTTTCCATTATGCACTGCGTGCTCCGGGATGTTTTTTATATGGTGCACACTGACCACACAGACCCTTCCCTCACATGTGGGCCTACCAGTTTTCTCCTGCTTGATTTAAAGCCGCTGGAATTTATGAGTATATATACGTCAAACACGGTACCCCCGTAAGACGATATATATACGGCCGCGACAGTCAAAGGGTTAAATCCTGATGCAACTTCCTACCTTTTTGCATATGATCGCTTGAGAGATGCTATCTCCTGATATCTGGTTTTTCGGTTTTTCCACAACCCAAAAACAGTCTCTCAACATCTATCACTTGCGATCACTTATTCGAAAACAAAGTTGCACCTTTGGCAAGAACAGCTTCCTTGATTGCCGTTTTCTTGGCCACAATAGTATGGATGGTTGATTGGGGTTTCGTATACAACCTGGCCAGCTCGGAGACACTCACTCCACCTTTGTACTTAGCAATTATCTCTTTCTTCATATCCATAGTAATTCTCACCCCTTTTTCCTGTAGGGTTGGCACTAGAAGCTTTCTTGGGGCCCATGGTGACTTATTTTGCAGGTAAAATCACAAAAAACGCTGTGATAATATGAAATGTTCCGATTGTATGCTTGGATGCGACTGTGGTGGCTTGCTTGTAAACACTGGCACCCACGGGACAAGTGAGGCGCGCTCAGGCCACACATGGACGCGTCTCAAACAAAGCGCGTTGGGCGAGTTTTTTAGCGCTAAATGAGGCAAAATTTTTGCGCTATAATGTATCGCTAGCCGGATTTAACGTTAGGTGATGCCATCGTTAGCTGAGGGTCCACTGTATTGGCAAGATGGAGGGAATGTTTTTGAGAATTGTTAAATGTTGAAGATAGGGAAACTGTGATTTCGTGAATAGAGCAAGGAGGAATAACATCTTGTAGGAGTGAGGAAGAGCGAGTTGTGGGTGTGGGGGATGTTCGTGAAGCAGTGAGTAGAATGAAATGGGGTAAGGCACCTGGGATTGAGGGGATAAAGATAAAAATGTTAAATAACAAAAAAGGACAATACCGTGACTGGAACAATACACAGTAAACCCGCACATAAGAGAGAGAGGAGCTTGTGATGACATTTTGGTCCAACTTGGACCATTCACAAAGCCACTTTGTAAATCGTCCAAGTCGGACCGAAATGTCGTCGTAAGCTCCTCTCTCCAATGTGCGGGTTATTTGTGTAAAAATGTTAATAGCAGGTAGGGATATAATTTTGGAGTGGTTGGTGCTCTTATTTAATAATTGTATGGAAGAGGGTAAGGTAACTAGGGATTGGCAGAGAGCATGCATAGTTCCTTTGTATAAAGGCAGAGAGAGTGCAAAAATTATAGGGGAATAAGTCTGAGTATACCTGGTAAAGTGTTTGGTAGTTATTATTGAAATAATAAAGAGTAAGATGGAGAGTAGGAGAGCAGATGAACAGGGAGGCTTTAAGAATGGTAGGGAGTGTATAGACAAAGTGTTTACAATGAAACATATAGGTGAATACTATCTAGATAAGGATAAAGAGGTTTTTGTGGCATTTATGGATTTGGAAAGGCATATGACAGGGTGGATAAGGGGCATTGTGGCAGATATTACAAATGTATGGAATAGGAGGTAGGTTATTGAAAACAGTGAAAAGTTTTTACGAGGATAGTGAGACTCAGGTTAGAGTATGTAGGAGAGAGGGAGATTGTTTCACAGTAAAAGTAGGCCTTAGACAAGAATGTGTGATGTCACCATGGTTGTTCAATATATTTACAGATAGGGTTGTACGAGAAGTGAATGCTCGGGTGTTGGCAAGAGGTGTGGGGTTAAAAGATAAAGAATCTAACACACACTGGGATTTGTCATAGTTGCTATCTGCTGATGACACTGTGCTTTTGGGAGATTCTGAAGAAAAGTTGCAGAGGTTGGTGGATGAGTTTGGTAGGGTATGTAAAAGAAGAAAATTAAAAGTGAATATAGGAAAGAGTAAGGTGATGAGGATAAAATTAGGTAACAAAAGATTGGATATCAAATTGGAGGGAGAGAGCATGGAGGAGGTGAAAGTGTTCAGATATTTAAAAGTGGGTGTGTTAGCATATGGGTCTGTGAAAGATTAAATGAATCATAGAATTGATTAGGGGAAAATGTAAGTGGTGCACCTAGGAATCTGTGGAGACAAAGAACATTATCCATGGAAGCAAAGAGGGGAATGTATGAGAGTATAGTTATACCAATGCTCTTATATGGATGTAAAGCATGGGTGGTGAATGTTGCAACAAGGAGAAGGCTGGAGGCAATCGAGAAGTCGTGTCTGAGGGCAATGTGTGGTGTGAATATAATGCAGCAAATTCTTAGTTTGGAAATTAGGAGGAGGCGCGGGTTTACCAAAACGATTATTATTGTTCCAGTTTACCAAACTCATAGCTATTTCTTTAGAACTCCATTTTTTTCTATCGATTGAGTACAAGGGCTCAGAGAGCAGATAAACTCTCGAAACTCTCCATTACCGATTTCAGCTACCCTATAACGTGGTCAGAAATTTGCAATTTGGCCAATTTCACGAACATTAAAAAAATATGACAATTTCAAAATAGGGTCGAGAATGAACAATGCAGATATTCCTGGCTCTAAAATAACATTTTCTTTGCTCATCAGTCACATCTCCAGGCCCCTCTGATATTAATCTTGCTTTCTATTTTGAAATTTTATTTGAACAAAAAATATAAGATTTACTGTTATGCAGACTACTGCAATATTGTAATAATTGTATAAATAATGTCAACCCATTCATGACTGCATATTAGAATGGTTACTTGGACATTTATTGGAAAATGACATCATTTGTTTACTTTTGAACATCAGCAAAAATCAAAGATTTCCCCTACTTTGAGCTCCATTTCAAGGTTCTTTTTATAGTAAAATTAATCAAATCACCTCTATTTCTATAATATGTTTTCCATTCTATCAAATGAGACCAAGAAAATGAGAATACAACCATAAATACTATACGAAAATAGACCACAAAGTCGGCATTTTAATTAAAAAAAAAAAGACGGTCAGAGTTTTTTTTTCTCATTATGCACCTCGTGCTGCAAGATTTTTTTATATGGTGCACACTGACCACATAGACCCATTCTCTCACATGTGGGCCTACCAGCTTTCTGCTGCTTATTTTGAAGCCGCTTGAATTTTTGAGTATACGTCAGAAACGGTGGCTCGTAAGACGTATATACATGACCGAAACAGTCAAAGGGTTAATCCGGCTATTACCTAACCCTTTGACTGTTTGGGCCATATATACTGTATATGTCTTACGAGCCAGTGTTTTGGATGTACATGTACTCAGTAATTCTAGCGGCTTCAAATCAAGCAGGAGAAAGCTGGTAGGCCCACATGTGAGAGAATAGGTCTGTGTGGTCAGTGTGCACTGTATAAAAAAAAAATCTTGCAGCATGTAGTGCATAATGAGATAAAAAATAACTCTGTGTTTTTTATTAAAACGCCGACTTTGTGGTGTATTTTCATGTAGTATTTATGGTTGTATTCTCGTTTTCTTGGTCTCATTTGATAGAATGAAAAATATGTTACAGAAATAGAGATGATTTTGATTAGTTTCACGACAAAAACAACCTTGAAATTGAGCTCAAAGTAGTGGAAATGTTCGATTTTTCCCAATGTTCAAGAGTAAGCAAATCACGCCACACATCCAATACACATGAACTGGGGAGTCTAATGTTCTTTCACTAGTGCACTGATATTATTTATACCATTTTTACAATAATGCAGTAGTCTGCATAACAGTAAATCTTCTATTTTTTTGTGTGAATAAAAAATCAAAATAGACATGACTAATGAACAGAGATATGTTATTTTAGTGCCAAGAATGTCAGCAGTGTTTATTCTGGACCTTATTTTGAAATTGGCATCTTGTTTAATTTGCGTGAAAGTGGCCAGATTGCCAATTTCTGGTCACTTTATTGGGTAGTTGAAATCGGTAAATGGGCAGTTTCTTGTACCCACTTGATAGAAATAGTAATGTAGTTCTAAAGAAATAGCTATGAGTTTGGTCGACTGGAACATTGGAATTGCTTAAAATAGGGCTCAAAGTCGGTGAAATTGCAGGTGAGTATATATCGCCGAGATTTCTAACTTCGCGGGAGCATAATTCCATAAGTTTTCCATCAAATTTCGTACTTTTGGTGTCATTACCATCGGGAAATGATTCTCTCTCATTCTATAAGAAAAAATAATTTGTTTTTTCCCTAAAATTTTGCGACACTAGGAGACACTTCAGGATTTGGGGTTGCGACAGTCAAAGGGTTAATTCGATGGCATCTTAATCTGGTGGGTCCACTGTACACTCAGAATGCATAACCAAATAAGTGGGCAGATGGATATTTAATATTCTGGTGAATAGAATCCAAAATGTAATAGTGAACAGCATGAAATTCGAGTCTGCCATAGTGGAAAACTGTTCTCCTAGGCACATTATTGGCCCCCCTGTCCTCTACCTCATTCTCATACCTGACTTAGGCACAATTCATAATACTATCATCCTTTGCAGACAGTACTAGAATCTGTATGAGTGACATCCACTGAGGACACAGCAAACCTCTAGGCTCATATATAGTTCTCCAGTGGTCCATTGATAATAATGGTTAATGAGGACAAGTTTCACTTACTCTTTTGTGAAAAAAATTGAAGAAATAAAGACTGCAACAGAGTATAAAACAAACTTGAGCATGAGACTAATAATAATAAAGCCTTTATATTTTATTTTTTTACTATGTGGTCCCTGGCTCTCAGTTATACTAATGTCGTTGCTTCCCCTTCAGACTGGAGGCATCCGCTTTCTGTATGACAACATCGTGGAGTCCTTGGAGCAGTTTAAAACCTCCAATGGCTTCGGCTGCATCTTGGCACATTCCATGGGCCTCGGCAAGACTCTGCAGGTAGGTTGTGTATCGTGGTGACCTTGGTACCCTGACTGTGGAATTATTGTTGTGGATGTGGCCAGGGTTATGACTGTGGAATTATTGTTGTGGATGTGGCCAGGGTTATGACTGGAATTATTGTTGTGGATGTGGCCAGGGTTATGACTGTGGAATTATTGTTGTGAATGTGGCCAGGGTTATGACTGTGGAATTATTGTTGTGGATGTGGCCAGGGTTATGACTGGAATTATTGTTGTGGATGTAGCTAGGGTTATGACTGTGGAATTATTGTTGTGGATGTGGCCAGGGTTTTGACTGTGGAATTATTTTTGTGGCTGTGACCAGGGTTATGACTGGAATTATTGTTGTGGCTGTGGCCAGGTGTTACAAAAAATGCGATTCTAAAAGCTTAGAGATCTCCAGTGAATACTAGAAAGGACTACCCTTCTAGCATCCAGCCTGTTACTGGGTTTTCGTAACAAGTAGTCAGTATCCTTGTCCAATTATCCATTAGAATTCAGTATGATTCAATAGTGCTTCAGGATTACAACTGGTAGGCTACTAACTAGAGAAATTAAAATTTAATAAATTTATTAAGTCTAGAGGTATATTATCAAATTAAATTAAATTAATCACAGTAATCAAAATAATATCACTTCTCTCGAGTACAATATTATTGTGCTGAAAGCACATATCACATTTATAATTCTTAAGTACCGTCTGGTACATTAACATTTAATAAGATATTACAAATATGTACAAGTAATTTTGTGTGTAAGTGCTCTAAGTGGTTCGCTTTGTCTCACGACTCAACTAGACTAAAACAAGTGACTGACAAAGTCCTCACATAAACTAACTTCTTGACCAACTGGCAATCAGAACAGTCTGCTTGAACAGTAAAAAGAATGCTAAGCCCAATAGCAATTTAACAAGCAACTGCGACACAGAATCAGGAACAAAGAGATAATATAACGACACTAAGTAGGGACCATCTGCAGATCCTCCACAAGTCACCAAACTCCCATACTACTGAATCTAAGTTCAGCATAAGAAAATCCACGACTGTGATAGTACACAGATACCAATACAAGTTAGGTCAGAAGCTACAGCTCAGGACCTGAGTTGTTCAGAGTGTCTAAGAGACATACAACCTCAGTACAACGTCGAAAATCACTAAGTCTGTACAATGTTCTGTGAACAGAGTTCTACAGAACTAACAAGAATAATGAGACAGACAATCTGTCCAACCACCAAGAGAGTCTAGACCAGACTGAATACTTCAGGCGAGGTGAGGACACCCCCCCTCGATCACGTGATAGCTCCGTGGACAGCTGGAGCACAAACAGAAGCCGGCAGAGTAACGAGCAAGGAGCGATAATTACAGTAGTTAGACAATCAAGACTTGAAGTGAGCACATATGTTACATCCTACCTAACCAAAGGAAGCTAAGTCAAATAACAATGTAAAGCAATACATTTACGATTTAGCTATTATCGCAAATATAAGCAATGTAAAATTATATGAAAAGATAATAATTATATATATATTTTTTTTTTTTTCAACAAGTCGGTCGTCTCCCACCGAGGCAGGGTGACCCAAAAAAAAGAAAGAAAATCCCCAAAAAGAAAATACTTTCATCATCATTTAACACTTTCACCACACACACACATTATCACTGCTTTTGCAGAGGTGCTCAGTATACAACAGTTTAGAAGCATATACGTATAGAGATACACAACATATCCCTCCAAACTGCCAATATCCCAAACCCCTCTTTAAAGTGCAGGCATTGTACTTCCCATTTCCAGGACTCAAGTCCGACTATATGAAATAACCGGTTTCCCTGAATCCTTCACTAAATATTACCCTGCTCACACTCCAACAGATCGTCAGGTCCCAAGTATCATTCGTCTCCATTCACTCCTATCTAACACGCTCATGCACGCTTGCTGGAAGTCAAGCCCCTCACCCACAAAACCTCCTTTACCCCCTCTTTCCAACCCTTTCGAGGACGACCCTACCCTCTTTCCTTCCCCTATAGATTTATATGCTTTCCATGTCATTCTACTTTGATCCATTCTTTCTAAATGACCAAACCACCTCAACAACCCCTCTTCTCCCCTCTGACTAATGGCTTTTATTAACTCCACACCTTTCCTAATTTCCACACTCCGAATTTTCTGCATAATATTTACACCACACATTGCCCTTAGACAGGACATCTCCACTGCCTCCAACCATCTCCTCGCTGCTTGCTTTTTACCACCCAAGCTTCACATCCATAAAAGAGTGTTGGTACTACTATACTTTCATACATTCCCTTTCTTTCCCTCCATAGATAACGTTTTTTGACTCCACATATACCTCAACCCCAAACTCACCTTTTTTCCTCATCAATTCTATGATTAACCCCTCATCCTTCATAAATCCATCCGCCGACACGTCAACTCCCAAGTACAGTGGACCCCCGCATACCGATGGCATCACATAGCGATTAATCCGCATACCGCTTGCTTTAATCGCCAAAATTTTGCCTCACATACCGCTTATAAACCCGCTCACGATTTTCGTCCGAGACGCGCCCAAATGTGCGGCCTGACCCACGCTCACAATGTTTCCCCGGGTTGGCATTGTTTACCAGCCCAGCCTCCGCGGTAACATCCAAGCATACAATGGGAAATTTATTTCGTATTATTACAGTGTTTTTCGGTGCTTTTTCTGGAAAATAAGTGACCATGGGCCCCAAGAAAGCTTCTAGTGCCAACCTACAGCAATAAGGGTGAGAATTACAATAGAGATGAAGAAAAAGATCATTGATAAGTATGAAAGTGGAGTGCGTGTCTCGACTGGCCAGGTTGTATAATAAACCCCAATCAACCATCGCTACTATTGGTGGTTACAGCTGCTGCTGCTGCTACGCTGCACTGTCAGCTGCTGCTGCTGCTGTAGAATCGTCTGCTGCTGCTGTAACATCGTCTGTTGCTGCTGTAGCGTCGTCTGTTGCTGCTGTACCACCGTCAGCTGCTGCTGCTGCTGTAGCATCGTCTGCTGCTGCTGTAACATCGTCTGTTTTGCTGCTGTAGCATCGTCTGTTGCTGCTGTACCACCGTCAGCTGCTGCTGCTGCTGTAGCATCGTCTGCTGCTGCTGTAACATCGTCTGTTGCTGCTGTAGCATCGTCTGTTGCTGCTGTACCACCGTCAGCTGCTGCTGCTGCTGTAGCATCGTCTGCTGCTGCTGTAACATCTTCTGTTGCTGCTGTAGCATCGTCTGCTGCTGCTGTAGCATCGTGCTGTACCACCGTCAGCTGCTGCTGCTGCTGTAGCACTGTTGTTGGTGTGGCTTATTGAGAATACCAAGAAACAATTAACCCCAGAGGATTTGCCACCCAGGATAACCCAAAAAAGTCAGTGTCATCGAAGACTGTCTAACTTATTTCCATTGGGGTCCTTAATCTTGTCTCCCAGGATGCAACCCACACAAGTCGACTAACACCCAGGTGAACAGGGAAAAATGCCTGGAACTAGTGCTCATATTGGTGAATTTAAAGCCAGCAAAGGTTGGTTTGAGAGATTTAAGAATCGTAGTGGCATACACAGTGTGATGAGGCCTGTTCTGGAAGAAAATGCCAAACAGGACCTACATTACTCAGGAGGAAAAGGCACTCCCAGGACAGTGTCTCATCAGTCATTGCTGCATCTTCAATAAAGGTAAGTGTCATTTATTCTTCATTTAGTAGACTAGTACATGCACAATATATACTGTGCATGTACTACTCTACTATTGTGCATGTATCCTTCTCTTTGTGTGTGGGAAAATGTATATTTCATGTGGTAAAAAAATTTTTTTTTTCATACTTTTGGGTGTCTTGCACGGATTAATTTTATTTCCATTATTTCTTATGGGGAAAATTCATTCACATACCGATTATTTCGCATAACAATTACCCCTCTTGCACGGATTAAAATCGTTATGCGGGGGTCCACTGTATCTGAAAACATTCACTTCTTCCATACTCCTCCTCCCCAATTTGATATCCAATTTTTCTTTATCTAAATCATTTGATACCCTCATCACCTTACTCTTTTCTATGTTCACTTTCAACTTTCTACCTTTACACACATTCTCAAACTCATCCACTAACCTTTGCAATTTTTCTTTAGAATCTCCCATAAGCACAGTATCATCAGCAAAAAGTAACTGTGTCAATTCCCATTTTGAATTTGATTCCCCATAATTTAATCCCACCCCTCTCCCGAACACCCTAGCATTTACTTCTTTTACAACCCCATCTATAAATATATTAAACAACCATGGTGACAATACACATCCCTGTCTAAGACCTACTTTTACCGGGAAGTATTCTCCCTCTCTTCTACACACCCTAACCTGAGCCTCACTATCCTCATAAAAGCTCTTTACAGCATTTAGTAACTTACCACCTATTCCATATACTTGCAACATCTGCCACATTGCTCCTCTATCCACTCTATCATATGCCTTTTCTAAATCCATAAATGCAATAAAAACTTCCCTACCTTTATCTAAATACTGTTCACATATATGCTTCAATGTAAACACTTGATCTACACATCCCCTACCACTCTGAAGCCTCCTTGCTCGTCCACAATTCTACATTCTGTCTTACCTCTAATTCTTTCAATTATAACCCTACCGTATACTTTTCCTGGTATACTCAGTAAACTTATTCCTCTATAATTTTTACAATCTCTTTTGTCCCCTTTCCCTTTATATAAAGGGACTATACATGATCTCCGCCAATCCCTAGGTACCTTCCCCTCTTTCATACATTTATTAAACAAAAGTACCAACCACTCCAACACTATATCCCCCCCTGCTTTTAACATTTCTGTCATGATCCCATCAGTTCCAGCTGCTTTACCCCCTTTCATTTTACGTAATGCCTCACGTACGTCCACCACACTTACATTCTGCTCTTCTTCACTCCTAAAAGATGGTATACCTCCCTGGCCAGTGCATGAATTTACTGCCTCCCTT